TCTCTCTCTCTCTCTCTCTCTCTCTCTCTCTCTCTCTAAAACCCTGGGATCCTCCAAATTCGATCCAACTACATGTTGACCGTCAGATCACATCAACGAACTTCTCTCTCTTAATAACACGTGCCATTCCCTCTCCCCCCTCTTATTAGTACTTTACTTCCATGCATGGAATTCTCCTCCGACTACAACTCATATATAGAGAGAGAAACAAACAGATGAAACAGTCATGGAGTCTGTTTTCAATTCTCCACCTCTTGATTCGCTACTCCTTACCTCTCATTGATCTTTTCTTCTGAACTTATTATTTTTATTTTCTGGGGTTCATTAATTTTTACCAATTTTGAACGTTGCAATAGCAGAGTGCTTTCTGTCTTGTGTATTTCCGTGCTTCGGTACCAGATTTGTTAAAGATAAGAGATGCTTCCTTTCTTTTTAAGTTCGATCTTAAACTTCCCAAAAGCTGTCGAATCCTTCCCCCAAACTGAGATAAAAAAGTCTATGATCTTTTTATCTGAGACATGATCTGCTTTGAAAGATTAAAAATCGCTAAATTTGATGAGCTTTTTGTAGTGCTTTTGATTCACTTTATTTTTTCCTGGGTCTGTGTTCTTGGGATTTGAGCCCTAAAGATGTTTCACCGAAATCAGCAAATGTTGTAAGCTTAAATTGATCTTTGCTTTTCTGGGTTCGTTTGGTGTTTTTTTGATTAGGTATTTCTAAAATTTCGATCTGGAAATCAAGATGGATGACGATCATGATGAACTGAGATTTGTGTGTAAGTTGTGTGATAAACGATACCCAAGTGGGAAATCATTAGGTGGGCATATGAGGTCTCATGTAAATTCTCCCGCTGCTCCTGCTGTTGCTGCTAATTCAGCTGAATCAGACGACAAATTCGAGCCCATGAAAAAGCCTTCTACTTTGATCATCAACGGAAACGGAATTGGAAACGGGAATGAGAATGGGAATTCTAGTATTTACGGGTTACGAGAGAACCCTAAAAAGAGTTGGAGAGCAGTCGGTTCTTCCTCCTCGACTTTATCTTTCCCAAATGAGAAAGTTTGCAAGCAATGTGGAAAAGGGTTCCCATCTTTAAAAGCTTTATGTGGTCATATGGCTTTTCATTCTGGTAAAGATAGGAATTCCAAGGATTACGATTATTCATGGACGAGTGAAAATCTCGATCATGATGACAAGTCCATCAGCGATAGTCATTCCGATACTGAAGAAAACGAGCTTCAAGATCCGATTTGTGTTACAAGATCCAAATCAAAAAGGTACAAGAACATCGTAGTTAAACCATCTTCTTTTTTAACCAATAGTAATAATAGTAATTACAATTACGGATCTTCTTCTGTTTCTGAAATTGATGAAATTGAACAAGAAGAAGTTGCAATGTCTTTGATGATGTTGTCTAAGGATTCCGCCAACTGGGCCGGTGTTAATTCCGTGGTAGAATCTTCTGACAACAATTCTGTAGTTTTGGAGACCAAGTGGAATTCCGAGAATCGTTGGAATGGAATCAAGAAAGTGGAATCAGATATTACGGTAGAGGAACTTCTTAGGAATGGTGATCAACATAAGAAGAGATCAAAAGGAGTGAATGGTTTGAACTGCAGAGTGTATTCTTATGAAGAAAAACTCGAAATTAGAAGGAATTTGTTTAAAGAATTCGGGTATAATGATAATTTTAAGAAAAGAATCAAAGAAGATGATGATTCTTATAAGCCTGAGGAGCCACATAAGAAGAGAAGCAAGTATGAATGTATGAACTGCAACAAGATTTTTAGTTCTTTTCAAGGGCTTGGAGGACATAGACCTTGTCACAAAAAGAACAATTCAGAAGCCCAATATCATAATCACAAGGCTAGGTTTGACAAAAAGATCAGGCCAAAAAAGAACAAAGGGCATGAATGTCCAATTTGTTTTAGGATGTTTAAATCAGGGCAAGCTTTAGGGGGTCACAAAAGGTCTCATTTCATTAATGGTGGTTCTGGAGAAAGGTTTGATCACATCGCAGTGATGGAAGATGAGGGTCCTACATGTACTGATATGATTGATCTTAATCTACCTGCTCCAGAAGAGGACTAGGGTTAGAAATCGCATGATTTGGTCTTCGTTTTTGGTTGTTTATCAGAGGACTTTAGAGAGGCGAGAGTTCTATTTTTGTTCTTACTGTTTAGAACTTCTTAATATTTTCTTCATTTCATCCAATTCTTGAATTTGTGCCTAAATTTTCCTGAACATTAAGCTGGATTCGTAGACTCGTAGTTTCAAGAACATTTGATGCTACTTTACTCCCAATTCATGCTATTCTTGAATTTTTGCCTAGTTTTCGAGAGAAGTTAAGAGTTAGGTTTCAGGTTTTAGTTATTTCAAGAACTTGTGACGCTTTTTTACTCCGAATTCATCCGATTCTTGAATTTATGCCTAATTTTCAAGAAAATTTGGCGTGAAGTTCCCTGTTATGTTTCAAGAACTTGTGGTACTTTTAATTCACTTTTACTTGCTTTATTATATCCCCAGCTCATCAAAATCTTGAATTTATGCCCAAATTTCAAAAAAACTGAGGTTGACGTTAGCTTTTTTCAAGAACTTGAGACGTATTGGTGTTTACTATTGATTTGGTTTAGTTGTTCCTACAGTAATTTGGTGGCATATGTTTTAGTGGAAGGTGCTATGAATAATGAACATTTGCTTTTTGAAAATACACCATGATTTCATGCTTTAACGTACATTATGTGTCTTGATATGGTGGTTTTGTGTATGTTAGTGTTTGTGGGGTAGGCTATCAAAAGGAAGGACTTTTATATGTGGTTGTTTTGGGACATAACAACCAAATGTAGCCTACAAAATTGCTTAGAAATGTCGGTAATAATATAAATTTTTGGGACACACCTTCTTTTATGGTTTAATCATAGTATTTAGTTTTAATTGTTTTCATTGCTTGATTGATTTTATGATAATCGAAATATACTATAATGCAACAGTGGTATCGAAGTCATTGTTTCATGTTAGTAGCACTTCTAAAATCGATTTTGTAAAAACCTAGCAGGTATGATCTTGTACATATTGAGTGGGAAATTGCATGTATAAATTATACACATTAAGGCTTTGATTTTCAAAGAGCTAATAGCATAAAACCGATTTTCCTTTTAATTTAAAGTATATGAATTTTGTTTTCCTATTTATTTTGATTCTCTAATGTTTTCTAGTTGTATGTTTTGGCATGAATCCATATAATAAGAGTCATGTAGTAGTGTGTTTATATGTTTATGTCTTTAAAATAGTTTTATTGGCATTATAACATACTACAACAATGATTGTTTTATTAAATGCTTTTTCAATCTTTAACCAATTATTGTATATAAATAAGTTATTTTCTCATTGTATGGATCTAGTAAAGCATTGTTGCCATTGGACCTATGTTTGTGATGTATTTGGTTGTTTTGGATTATTTTTCAAAATTTGTTTTAATGGACTTACATGTCGTTTATTTATTTATTTGTAATGTTCTTTTTTACTTTGTAATTGTAATAGAGATTGTGTTAGATAAGAAAATATATTAGATTACAAATTATAAATAAGTGAAGCCCAGAGTCTTGATGAAATTCCAGTCGATCATAAAGTATGAATGGTGAAGCAAGCTGGAGCCATGCATCATTGTGGTTATTTGTACTTGTAATGACCTAGTTGCTCCATGTGATGACTCATTATAAAAATACATACGGTTGAGGAAATCGTTACCATTAGTTGCATTATGTTTAATTATTTAATGTTTTGTTTATGTTTGTATGGCTTGAAAGCTTGTTTAAACTAAATTACAACATTTTGTTAAAAGTAAAGTTAACAATTGACATGTAAACGATTTGTCAAAAAAAAAAAATGTTTTATGAATAATTTAAAGTGTTTTAAAAGATAACTTTGTCAAAGTAAAGTTAATTGTTTCTATCCAACTAAAAACAAAATCCCTTTTCTATTGTAAATCATATGATATCCATTTTAGAATACACACTTAAGCTAATGGTCTTCTGGTATGCAAAAGTATATTAGCCAATCACGTCGGTTAAACATTAGGAGGGTGAAGTGTTGTTCTCGATACTCGAGAGTTTTGCGACAGATAAAATGTATAGTTTTAACGGTCAATTTACTATCTTAAGTGCTGAAATTGGCGCCTTCTTTCCCTATCACACTCTTCCTTAACGAATCACATTTAGGGTACATCCATTTAATGTATGTGATAACAATATATTTTTGGAGTTTCACATAAGTTTTAATCAAGAAAAGATAATATAATTTCGAAAACAGGAAAATATATGTTATATAAATAGAGGGATTTGATGTGACACATGTTTTCATGAAATAAACTATTACGAGATACATAATGACCTAAATACCTCATACTGTGAGTTAAAGTATGTGTTTGGTATACCTTTGATTTGGAGTAAACTTAAAACAGTGAACTGATGATGATTCAGAGATGCAATATGTATGTTCTTGTACTTATTGTGTTATATTAGAAAATTAGTAGAGTTAGATTAGAAAATTGTGAAAGATAATGCTAGTTCACACTAATACTGTTTCGTGGATATAAAGTTTGTCAAAAACGGAGTTCGTATGAAAAAGTTATGGCCGTTTTAAGTTGAGATGAAAATATGTTGCTATTTGAGAAAAGTCAACGATCAACTTTTGATCCCCATGACGTGAAGGTATACGTGTCATGACGTGACCATATAAGTATCATGACGTGAAATGAGGCAAGT